TACGAGTTTTCTGTGTGCGGTTTAAGTTGCAGGTTTTAGTCATTTGGGGGGGCGATGAGCATATTGCTGAGCAACCATAACTAGAATGAATAGTTAGCTCAATTATATTTATGTTTAAGAGCTGCGCTGTAATGATGGTTATCGGAGGGAAGGCGACATATTGCTTGTGACATAAACAGCATGTGACAAGCCGAAAGGATGCAAAAATTCCTCTTACCATAAAAAGCCACAGCAAATGAGAGGACCAGCACAAGGGCCAGTCCGGTGCCCATCTCGCTCGCAGACCTAGGCCTGGTACAGAGTTGAGGAAAGTCGTGTTTAGTTGGCAGAATGTGCGCATGATTACAAATATCAGAGAATAGAAAGCTTAAACAGGTAGGATGGTGTTACCAGGTTTATTCGGCTCAGCCAACGGTTTACATGTATCCATATCAAGTCGCCCAGAGCCCGCACAGCTTACCGGTCACAAGCCCGATGCTTTAGTCGCTTCAGCGCCAAGTTTGTTGCCTCGATGCTGCCTGAGCGGCCTTCTGGTGTAGAATCCCTTTTGGCGTGAATCGCCAACTAACTCAGCGATATTCCACCTATTGTGCGCAATCACGTTGCATGCTCTGATGATTGAAAGCAAACTATGTGCAATAAAAGTCGATGCCTATGGGAACCTGCCGGCGCGGAATCTAACTAAGCAGGACTACAGAGGACTACACTACGTTAACGAGAAGTCCCCTTCATCGTGTTCGGTGGATGTTGGCACACCGTTGTAAGCGATATGATTGTAGAACTAAGCAGAGCCTATTTTAAGGGCTCTTGCTTCAGACGGTTGACTTCCATAAGCCCCTTCCACCGCTGGTTCGAAATTACGGCCTGTACGGCGCCCGGCAGCAGTCCGCCCGCAACTTCACATACCAGACTTGTTGTATCTTACTAAACCACAACTGGATGGTGGCGTCGGAAGACACCGATTGGAAGAGTTTCGCCCGCTTAAATAGCGGAGGATGCGGCCATCCCATGAATCGTACAGCCAGTTCCGAAAAGGCGCGGTCCAGTCCGGAATGGCGTACCGTTGATCCATGCTTCCAATCGATGACGGGGCTCAGTGTTTTTCTTTTCAATTTTGCCGGTGAATTTTCCAGTCCGAACGGAGGAATAGGTTTTTAGTCGCGGGAATAAAAGCATTCCGAATCTGTAAGGCGCCCCCCCAGAACCACCCGATGAGTTACAGTTTACTTCGTGCAAACGCCGTGGGGAATGCCGCAACACGCGTCACCACAATCTTTCAAACACTGATCGAATGGAGTTCGGTCACCATCGTTCGTCTTGCATCACGTTGAACGATAACACTACACGACTTTCCGGGTTGCAAAAGTAATGATGCATAGCAGCAATGAACCGGAACCGCCAAACGCAGCATGTTTCCTGGACCATCGCGATTGTCTCCGTATGACGAACGTTGATGTTTGGCCCGCTCGCTGTTGACAACCGGAGTGGCGTCATTGTCGTCGGCTGGCTGCAGCATTGCGCCCACATTCCCTACGACCTCTATACCGTCTTCATTAACGTCGCTAATGGCTTCAGTGATTTTTTATATCTGCTTTAATGACCTAACACGCTTTGGGAGCTTCGGGTCCGAATGTTTTGCAGCGTTTAGTCCGGTCAGAAACAGTCCGATTCCTCGTTGACTTTCGGGCGTGAGCTTCCTAACAGTATACATGGCATTAAAGTACTATGATATGGTTAACATGTATGTCTCCTGTGAGATTCTAGCGGCTTTGGCATGGACAGTCCATTTTTGGCTGGAGGAATGAACTTGCACGGCCGGAACATTATTTATTCTTAACTTTCAGGACCACGAACATTTTTTTATTCCGAATTCGGAATATAATCCGCAAAAAAATAACGCTGACGGGGCTCCGCGAGCCAGGGACCAGTCGTCGCTGGCACCAGAGTCGGCCATGGCAGTTAAAGAATGTCCAGCGACACGAATGCCAATTAACGGGACTCTGGGCCCTGTTGATGCAGCAACTTTTGCACACAGGACTGAAACATGGGGCTCCGTGTCAAGGTGCCCCAGGACAAGAGGGGGATCGTACCAAACGTCAGCAGTATACGGCAGACCTGGAAGGGAAACAAGTTGACCCGTCATGTCTACTCCGTTGAAGAGCTTGCTACCAGCACGAAACTGAAGAACCCGACGCATCCCTATCAGCAAGGAGGCAGCCCTCGGGGATACATGTGCTGGTAACAGGAGACAGGCCGCGGTGTCCGGTCGTTGACGTTTGCAAATATGATAATGCGCAAGCTGAGACTGAAGTTCTTTGAAAGAGGAAGGGGAAATCCAAACGGTATGCCCACCCAAGTTACTAGAGGTTAGACGCCGTGGAATAGCAAACAGATTACAGTGCTCGTCAAAACCAGGACGAGCAGTACGAGCGTCAAACGAAAAACGCCATCCAACGGCCTTCTCAACTTGGTTCAATACGGCCGGTAAAACAGCACGGACAGCACGTCCAACCGGGCAGATAACGGGTACCGTTTGGTTTTGTAACCCAGGGAGTGCTTCCCTGACACTGTCCTGGGCAACCCCCTATTTTTCCCCGTTCCTAGCTCTCTTCTCTGAAAGCAACGGGCACTCCGCTACTAGGTGCTTGTCCTCCCCACAGCGGAGGCAACGGCTATTTTTCCGGCGGTACTCGTACTCCGCCCGAGTGCAGTAAAACTTATTCATCCATTCGGCCGGATTCGAATCCCGGCCACGCTTGCCTAGCACCGTCGTCCCTGTTCCCGCGGCAGCGGCCCTGGGCCGACTCTTGTCCCTATGCTTGCCACCCCGACCCCTGCGCCCACGGTTCGACTCACCAGCACCGGAGGCCTGGCGAGCTGTATTCCGCCCAGCGGCAACAGTAGCAGCCCGAGGCCTGACCTCCGGTGCCGGGAGGTCCCCGTCGTCAGTGATGATGGGCGCGGGATCCTCATCACTAACCCCAGCGGGCAAGCCGCGCTCAGTAGCGACGTTGTTCCTTCCATCGCCGGTGGTCGTCCCGGTGGCGCGACCCGCGATGTGTTCCACTGCAGGAATCGGAACATCGGATGAGCGATTATTCATATTTATCAATTGGTTACTGTTATTTAGGGCAATAGGCGGCGGCGGGACAGTTACATTGGTCATATCGATAGCGGAGGGCAATCCCCAACGACTTCGCCTAGACTGCTCCATTTCCAACTATCCTGACCCAGATCAGGCAGACCGCGTACCCAAGTAAAGAGAACTGTCAGGTTTTTTGGAAGTCTGTTCTAGCACCGAACGGGTGCTACGAAGCTCTTGACAGAGCCTCCGGCAAAGGGCAGGGACCGCCGAAGGAACCGGCGGTTCGGAGCCTGCAGCAGCCTTACCGCTAGTAACACAAAATCCTAGAAACATTCAGCAAACAGATTTGCTAAAGTAGTTTACAGACCGGACGCAGCGACTTCGCGGGCAGCATCGCCAAGAGCGTCGACGATTGTAGCCAAAGGTCCGGTGACGTCGTCGACCTCCATCCACGCGCCGGTAGAAGTGGGGATCTTGATGGCAAAAGGGGGATCTTGAAATTTTCAGAAATGCGAGAGGCCCCGGGAGGAACCGTCTCGATACCAGACTTGTTATATCTTACTAAACCACAACTGGATGGTGGCGTCGGAAGACACCGATTGGAAGAGTTTCGCCCGCTTAAATAGCGGAGGATGCGGCCATCCCATGAATCGTACAGCCAGTTCCGAAAAGGCGCGCTCCAGTCCCGGAATGGCGTACCGTTGATGCATGCTTCCAATCGATGACGGGGCTCCGCAAGCCAGGGACCAGCGTCCCAGTCGTAGCCTGTGCTACGACCCCCGCCCATACTTCTGCAAGTATGGACTTCCGCCTGAGGCGGCGTTTACTTGTAGGCATCCATGACAGCGTCCCGCTCGCCGTCTGACCCAGAGGTCGGAGCCATAAAGATCTGACAGAAAAGCTGCAAAATAGGCAGTTGGAATTCAGTTAGTTCCAGCGAACTTGTCCAGTAACCGCGCCAAGCGAGAAAGGAAAAATTAGACAGAAAATGTATCAGTTAGGGCTCAGATTTAAGAAGCGGAATACAACATAGATGAACCAGTTGTTCTGTTAGTTAACCCCAACTACCGTGATTCTGACGGTTAATACGACAGGGGATGGCATAACATGGGGCCATTCAGCGCCCTCCACGACATTCATCCACCTCACACACACACACACACACACACACACACGCACGCACGCACGCACGCACGCACGCACGCACGCACGCACACACACACACATACACACACACACATACACACACATACACACACACACATACACACACATACACAAGACAGAAACACTGGCATGTTTCCGCCTTTCTTTTATTTTGCTCTCGCTTTCTTCGGGAATAAGTAAGGAAGCCTACAGCCCCATGTGCCCGAAGAAAGAAGTGGGGTACCGCTCTCCCCTGCTGCTTCCCTGCTCCATGCCTCGTCCCCTGCCGACTCCTCCCCTGCCGACTCCTCCCCTGCCACCTCTATCCCCTGCCGCCTTTATCCCCTTCCGCCTCCTCCCCTCCCCCCGCATCTTCCCCTCCCACCTCCATCCCCTGCCGCCTCCTCCCCTGCCGCTCCTCCCTTTCCGCCTTCTCTTCCACCACCTCTATCCCCTGCCACCTTCTCCCCTGCCGCTCCTCCCTTTCCGCCTTCTCTTCCACCACCTCTATCCCCTGCCGCCTCTATCCCCCGCCGCCTCTATCCCCTGCCACCTCTATCCCCTGCCACCTCCTCCCCTGCCACCTCCTCCCCTGCCGCCTCTATCCCTCAGCCCTCAGGCAGAAAGGAGAGCAAGAAGACAGAAAGGAGGCATGACATGAATGCCATGGCCGTCATGACTTTATTTGCCTGCACATGCACAGCAGGCTTCTGATGGTGAAGCTGCAGCTCAGCTGGGCAGCATGATGGATGGTGGTGCTGTGAGCGGCTCAGGCTTGGCGAGCAGTCTGGCGGTTGCACAGGTGGGCAGGGAGGATGGTGGGACTTAGGGGGCTTAGGGTCCTTCATGTGACTGAACCTGTCATACATTGACTGTGGTCAGTGTACGACATAGCATCACTGTGTCAACATGTTGTGTCATGCATTAGCAGACAGCCATGACATGAATGCCATGGCTGTCATTACTTTGGGTTTTGGCTGCACATGCACAGCAGGCTCCTGATGGTGGAGCTGCAGCTGAGCAGTGTGTCAGGGTGCATGGCAGTGCTGCAGGTGGCAACAAGGAGTTTGGTGCACCCAGACGGTGACACAGACACAGCAGCCATGTAATCCCAGGCATGGCAGGCGTATCGTCACGGTGGAAGGCGATGTGGCAGGTGGCAGTGGTAGCGGTGCTCATGAGCACCAGCGGGGTGCAGCAGCAGCTAATGGTCCATGCAAGTGGAAGCAGCCATCAGGTGCACAAGGGGCACATCTATGCATAAGCGTCAGGCTGTAGCTGCAGCTGAACCAGCCTCGGTGCAGCAAATCAACCCTCACCTGGCCGGGTACTATAGGACTGATCTGGAGGAGCTAGGCTGGGCAGGGGATAGCAGTGGTCTCACCAGACTGGCTGCAGGGTGGATCACAGCAGCCATCTGTGAAGATGCTGAGGAGCATGTCAGTCAGCATGGAGTACCCATCTTCCAAAGCGAGAAATGGGACAGCACAGTTGTTGGGATACCAGACAATGAGGGTATGGTCGACATATTCTAGGGTTTGGCACTACTGGTAAGACGCGACCATTGCCCCTGGGAGATCCCGGGATTTAAAGTCCTATTGGGATTTAAAGTCCTATTGATTGTGGAAGGCATTGCGCCCCTAGTTTATGACGGTGGTGACCTGGGATAAAGTTAACCCGCGAGCTGACTAGGAATGGAGTTGAGCCGCTGTCGACCCGGCAGATTCCGTTGGATGCTGGTGGTGGGTGCGGAAGCTGAGCGATCCACTGAGAAGTTGACTAGGGTGACTGGATGCGGGTGCCCCGAAATACCGGGGAAGGCAGGGTTTCGCAGGGTAGCTGCCACGGGCGAAGATACACCCCCTTGTTTCACACATCATATTGGGAGTCGGCATTAACTGCAGGCGGAGGTTGGGGACACAGCCCCCATGATCCTGCAGACTTTTGTCCGGCATGTTCAGCAGCTATTCAGGGATCAGTACATGAGTATCCTGGGCACACACTTCCAGGTCATCATCCTTGGAAACAAGCCAGATGGACCAGGGGGTCAGCCGGTTGCAGCACAGCAGCTGCACATGGATATGAAGCCGGACCAGGATGACCCCCCAGGTTACATGCTGGGGGGGCTGCATGAGTTCCCACTCCAGGTCGTCTGCAGGCAATGGTCGCCGATACACCACTTTGGCGTCCCGCGGAACTGCTGCTGTGGGCTGTATGTCCACGTGCAGAAGGTGCACGGAACCCACTGCACGTGGCTCCGGCTGTGGATGCAGCTGCAAGCGGCACATACACGCACAGACACATACACACACATACATACACATACACACACATACACACACATACATACACATACATACATACATACATACATACATACATACATATACACACACGCACGCATGCATGCACCCACCCACCCACCCACCCACACCCACCTCCACACCACAAACCCACCCACACCCACACCCACACCCACACCCACACACGCTCACACGCAATCACCCTGTAGTGCCGCAGGATGTGGCCAACTCGTGCCACACGGCACGGCACGGGGGGTATAGGGCCCAGGGGGGTTGTCTGCGTGTGGGTGCAGCTGTCAGAACGCTCCGCAGCCATTGTTGTGTGGGGTGAGGGGCTCTCCAGATGAAGAGAGTTAACCCTCGTGGTGTCGGACCAGGTCCGGATGAAGGTGAGGATATACCCGCCATCCACACGATGCAGCCGGAGCTTCCCTCATCCAGCGCCGTAAGAAGATGCGCTGTGAGGTCGCAGCCATAGCAACGCCTTGTGAATCATCGATGGGATCCTTACCTAGCGGGAGCACTTCTATAGGCATCTGGCCCAGCTTTCCACTTGACATGGTGAAGATTGTATCTGTTTTTAGTGATCCCTAACACTTGTTTCCATTCTGTGTTACTGTCTCCCTTAACTGGTTCTGGTGGCTGTGGATTGGCTGACCCGATGGTGCTGAATGGCGTGGTTTGGACGATTTTGGCGAGAATTGCACATCTGCCACGGGCCTTACACAGCAGGAAGAGCAAACAGCCAAGCCTAACAGTGGCCGCGCGGCCCAACCGGCCAGCAGGCCGCCCGTAGCGACGGGGGCCGCGCGGCCGACCGCGGCGCGACACACCAGGCCGCCGACGGCCCGGCACGCACCGCGAAAGGGCGCCAGCGCCCAACACCAAAACCCAACCTCGGCACGACAGCACTGCTGACCCTAAGTAACAGAGGCACTGCAGCACCCGCGCGCCCCAAAGACCTTCGCACCGGACAAAGCCGACCGACCAGAAACGACCAGGCAGCCACCCCCTGCCGACCCCGCGGGGCGTGCCCCCTCACCCCGGGTGCGGGCGCCTCAGCCCCGCCCCCTGAACCAACCCCCTCCCGCGCGCGTGCTGTCTCCCCCTGCCGCCATGCTGGGGGGGGCCGCCTCTCGGGAGCCCGCCGACGCCAGGCCGAGCCGATCAGTGCTGCATCTGGGGCAAGACTGGGGATAGCGGAAAGGAGGCAAGGAGCTGACAGGGACAGGGCGGGCGGGGGGCAAGTACAGCCTGTCACGCTGACTAGTTGGACAAGGCTGTATGCTCTTCTGTGTGAAGGCAGAATGACTTCACCAGGAGAGCAGCAAGGTTTAAGTCGCCACTGCGACCCAGTTGTACGACAGTACCACAGAACCAGCTTTAGAGGCTCCGGTCGCTTCGCTCCGTCGCATCTAAGCCAACAAAAAGCAAACCCAAATAAAGGTAAGGCCCATGGATTGTGTGTCTCCGGTGATGATGGACTCTGCATTGGCAAGTTTGGATGTATACATCCGGAAAAAACATTTGTAATTTGTCTGCTCTTGACAAGTAACGGTGTCGGAAGACTGTCCGTTGTCGCAAATCGAACTTTGCAACGACTTGGTTGACAGTTGCTTCGGATCTCAAGCTGTCGGTGTCATGCACCAGGTCTCCGGTGCTCGACCTAAGGTGCTCTCAGGCCACTCAGATGCGCTGTGCTCAAACCAAACCCTTACAGTGCATGAAGCCAAACTTGCAAAAGATCGACTGCAGGCACGTCCTGGTTGGCTTTCAGCACTTGCGGCCGAGGACCCCAACCCCAATAACGAAGACATTCAAGTTTTAGACAGCTCTTCCAGGACGTCCATTCATCCATTCATCAACCGGCTCGAAGTGCGGACACTCCCCAAACAAATTCCCTATCGGGTACACAGAGCAGTTTTCCAGGGCTTTCCCCCTCCTCGGCTTCCTTTCGTGCGTAGCAGTTGCAGCAAATACCTTGGCTGATTTATTCCAATCATGATATGCTGTACAACTTCAACACAAAAGTACATACTCTCATTCGTGGTCAAGAGCCGGGTCGCGGTGCCATCCATGCCCCACTATACCGCCAAGGCCTCGCCAAGTCACCAACCCAGCCCCAGCCCCAGCCCGAGCTGTCAACCGGCGGGACTCAGCCAACGAGCCTGAGCAGGCGCGAGGCAGCTGCCGCACCTCCTCAGAGCCTATTTTAGCCGTGTCAACTAGCCCTGGAAGTCCTGTCCCTCAGGGACTGATCCTGCCAAGCTGAAAGTGAAGTATAACAGGCCACGCCCTTGAGCTGCTTTCAAGAATCAATAATCATCAATACTCTCCGTTCCATGGTCAAAGGAAGAGCCAGTTCTCCTCCACTTAATGGAGTGGGAGGTGCCCTTTACATGCTGAGACCCGCCGCGGCCCATATGCAGCCGTGTGGCACGACCCCCCCACCAGTAACTTCCCCCCACCAGGTCCGATCCGAGGGCAACCGCAACAACGGCTGTCGCTTCTCATAACCGCACACGGCCCGCCCTCCCAGGAGCTTTACCCCCCAATAACCCCCCGAACAACAATTACCTTGTCGCAATAACGCTCAGTTCTTCTCGGGCCCTGCTGCCGCATCCTCTCCTGTGTCGGGTGCGGATGTGGACCTCACCGTTTGCCGCCGCAACACCCTCCCCCACCCTCGCGTTACGGGCACGTAACGAAAACACGCACGCGCAACGTCCTTGTTAGGCGATTGGGCCAGTCGAGAAGATTTTGCACCTGCATGAAGAAAGGAAAGGCTGGGTGAGTTGGCGTCGCTCCTCCCTTCTTTACCCCCACATATGCACACATGGTCAGTTGGGGGCAGTGGAACCGCGCAAACCCCCCACAACACATATGGGGGATGTCAGTTGATCTGTACACCACCATTAACAAATTAAATCGACAATCAACACCACGTGTCTCATCAACATCAACAACAATATCGGAAGGAAATGCACCCGCTGCCGGCCCGGATGACGGTGCGGTGCTGTATACAACACAGGCGCTAGAGACCGTTGTTTTTCTACTCTTCTGTTCTTTGGCTACTTACTGTACATGGCTGGCTCGTACCTTCCTCGCTCCTCCGCGGTGCGCCGCAGTGCGTTGAGCGGCTTCTGTTCAACAGATCGCAGCCTTGACGCGGACCTAGGCTGGACCTTGGCCGCACAGAGAACGTCCACTGGCAATGTCTGAGCAAGTGCGGTGGGCACACTACGTGGAGCGTCGGACGGGTGCCTCTTAACCGCTGCTGCTGCTGGTGCTGCTGGTACTGCAGGAGCGATAGTTCCTCCCCGCCTATGAACGTAGCGGGTTTGTGAGCTGCCGCAACACGGTCCAGAACCAGCCGAGAGAGAGAGAGAGAGGAGGATCACATCAGGATTTCCTCCGATGCGGCCCTCCTCCCTCCTCTCCCTCCCCCTTCCCTCCACCACAACCTCATTATGCACCGCTCCATCCGGCCCTTCGCTGCGGTTTGCCCTTCCGAGGGAGGTGGGGGAGGGAAGAGGGCCGCTGCGCGGGAGCATCCAGCATTAAGGAGTAGTTCGTGGGTAGTTAGAGCCGCTCATCGGCATCCTCCTCCTCCTCCTCTTTCCTTGGCAGCAGCCTCACTCGCTCGTGGTTCGTCTTTTCCCCCTCCTCCTGCTCGCTGGCGGGATGCCTACAACGGCGGCGGGAGGGAGGGGGCCCCGCGCAGTGTAAGGAAAACCCGGGGTTGGCTCCCAGGCTCGGTTTGATCGCAGGATCTTTGTCACGATGCACAGCTGGTTCCCCTCCCCCTCCTCCTTCAGGTCCTCCCCTCCAACCTGGTTGGGGTACATCGCCCACCCAGACTCCCTAAGCACACCTGAACCGCCTCCTCCAGCACCTCCAACAAAGCCGCCTGGCGCTGCAGCCAGGGCCGCGCACTGGCAGCCAGCTTGGCGCGGTCCACCGGCCGTACTTCGACGGCCCTCTGGTAGGCTAGGCGCTTGACGGGCTTGGCGGTGGAGCCGCGCGCTGCGGCCTCCTGCGCCATCTGCGCGGCGCGTGTGTCCGTACAGATGCGGAAGAAAACAAATTGGCCCTTCGGCAGGTAGTTAGGCGCTGTGGTCACTGGGCCCGGTGGTGCGGGTTGCGTGGCGGGGTTTTGGTGGTGCGGGTCGGGGGTTTGGGGGCTCAGGAGGTGCGGTTGCGCTGCTTGCAGAGACGGGTCTAGTTCGGTCTCCGTCACCAGGGGTGTTGGCGGCAGCGGCAGCGGCGCCGGCGCCGGCGGCGCCGGACTGGCTGGGCCCCTGGAGCAGCTTGGCGCTGATGCCGGCGCCGGCGCTGGTGCTGAGGTCCGCTCGGCCTGGGAAGGGAAAAAGTTGGCGGTAGCAGCTGAGGGCGTTGGGTGTATGCGGGCTGTAGAGGGTTGCTGCTGCACATCGGTGGCGTCGTATAAGAGGTGTTCCGGAGCACCCCCCCGGGTGAGGAATCGGATGACACCCTTGGCGTCGCATCGCGCGGGGTCTGAGACCTGACCGAAGTATGTGCCAGGTTCCAGTTGCGTCAACTGAGTGCGGGTGCCGATGGGTGCAAGGCGCACGCGCGTGGCGACGGGCTTGCCGCCATTAACGTGCTCCAATATGAACGTGACGGCGGTGCCTTCGGAGAACTGCTCCAAGCTGCAATCCTCAAGCGAGGATTCGTGAAAGAACACATCATGGACGCGGTGTGGGCAAGCTATGAAACCAAAGCTGCGGCGCAGTTTTGCGACGATGCCATGTTCAACGACAGCGCAGGTGTCCATGTACTGATAGGCAGGCCTTTGGCCAGCCCTGAGTTTTGGGGGATTGTCGCACAACCCAGCAGCGTTGTCCTGCTCCGATAAGCGTATAAGCTGAACATGAGTACGGAGCGGGCAAGTCGGTTGTCGTCCAACAGCCTTAGGCAAAATCCTTCTAGCAGGAAGCACTTTCCCCCTGCTGTACTCCTGCTAGTTGCAAGGCGCTCCATACACTAAGACTGCATACATCGGACGAGATGGATCAAATTTGCTGTGTCATATTAAGTTCTGTGGGATAAGTTAACGCCTTATAAAATGGGCTACAGCATCTTAGATATTATTGTCCATTGAATTATACAAGTTCCTCTTGCGATCAGTAGTTTGCCTTCAGCGAAGGAAAAACGGAAGTCGACGGGCAGCATAACCGGGCGAGGAGTATGGCGGCAAGGCCATCTCTTCTGGATAATTTGGGCGAGGAGGTTACGGGTATCGTTGCGCCGGTGTCCCTCTGTATGGCAGTGACCGTTCTGTTGGTCCGCCTTCTCAACCCAGAAGGCTCCTCCTCATCGAGCTCGGTGCTAATTGCCAACATTGCATATCAAGAACAGGTAATCTGTCTTGCCTTAGTGTTGTGCCTTGACGCAGCTGCCTGCATGTTCATGTCTCAACTTTCCACGTGACATTTTTGGTTGTACCCATAATGGAGTGCGTCACCGATCTGCACTTTGTGACAATATGTGCAGGCAACGGACTCCTCGGGCAAGAAACTAGGAGGCGCCCTCCTAAATGCCATTATTTTTGTGGCCGTTATCGGGGGAATGACGATTCTACTATTCCTTCTTTTCAAATACAAAGTAAGTGATGATGTGACGCGTCCCTACAGATCGCCTGGCTGGTCCCCTCCCCCCGAAGGTCCCAATCGTTTACACACCGGCATGCCGTGTGTGCATGCGCATTTTCGAAGCATCGAAGTGCATATGCTTTTGTCTCAATGTTTAGGTGGTAAAGACAGGGTGAGAGCGGAGGTACGGAAAATCTTGCGCCCACGCTAGACCCGAGCTAGACGCTTGCTGCCGGTTGCCCTTGCAGCGGACAGTAGAGCCCACTGCATGTATGGGTATGGGGTTAGGCTGGGGTTGGAATGGACCGCTGTAGTCCTCGGGGTAGTCCCCGGCGACACTCTTCGCTCCCCTCCCCCCCGCGCCGCGCACACCCGCACCCACACAACCAATCATATACGCGCGCGTGCAGCGCTCGATAAGCGATGCTAACCTCAACAACACGCGGCATTCCAAGTAACCCTGCGTGCTTGTATGCCCGCGCACACACGCGCAGTGCTACAAGTTCATTTACGCCTACATGGGATTCGCCGTCTTCAACATCTTCTTCTTCCTGACGGGCGCGCTCTTCATCCAGGTTATGCAGGTAGGTGGCTGGGTGGGTGGCTGGGTGGGTGGGTGAGGCATGGGCAACAACACGGTGTACACGTCCACCTAAGTGGTACAGTGTGCGTGTGATGGTGGCGGCGGTGCACACACGCGTGGGTGGTAACCGAGTGACGCATTGACTGCTTGAGAGGGAACCGGGGTCTGGATTCCGGATTCTCCAGGGTCCGAATTTGAATCCGAATTTGAGTTCGGATTTGTGATTTTATTACATCCAGTGCAATAGGACTACGAAAGGCCGGCGGTGGCCCTCCTCAGCCCCTGCTCCTCGTAGGGCCCACCTGGCGGCGGCTGTAAGACCGCCAATGCACGTTCCCGAACAGCATTCTCCCGCGACAGACTGACATATCTACCGACTGACCGGGGGAACCCAAAGCCACCCGAGTGCCTGTGGTGCATGAGAATGTTTGCCTGACTGTGATGTCGCTTCCCTCCCTACCCCCGGGCATACTGCTCGTTTTGATCACTGAGTTGTGCACTGAGCTGATGTGGCACATTGGTGTCCGGAGGTTTTCTATTTATGTTTCCTGGCGCCTACCTTCACCTACCTACACCTACCTACACCTACCTACACCTACCTACACCTGCTCACCACCTACCTATACCTATTGGCCCTGCACCACCGCTCGCTCACCCGCCCTCCCACTGTTCGTCCGTCCAGCACCGGCCCTTGAAAACGCCCTATCGTACTGTCGTACCAGGTCATCAAGCTGCACATTGATGCCTTTTCGCTGGCGTACGGCCTCTTAAATTTTTCGGTGGGTAAAGTCGAGCTGGTGGTTCAAACATCCCGCGCGTGTTGCCGCGCTATATCGTTGCTGCTGCGCAAGTCCGTGCATCAATGAAATTCCTTCAGAGGACTTGTGTGCGACACCATTGCGCCCCGTCAGTGTGTACCCCGTCAGTGTGTACCCCGTCAGTGTGTACCCCGTCAGTGTGTACCCCGTCAGTGTGTACCCCGTCAGTGTGTACCCCGTCAGTGTGTACCCCGTCAGTGTGTACCCCGTCAGTGTGTACCCCGTCAGTGTGTACCCCGTCAGTGTGTACCCCGTCAGTGCCGCCGCTTCCTCCAATGCGGGGTTCCCCTCCTCCTGCGCTGTTACAGCAGCTACAGCTGTAATTGCTGCAAATGTCTATCTCGCTTCGCCTTGACTGCGAACAAACGTTTATCGCGCACGTGCTGTTCTCGTCCTCCTCAATGTGCTCTCGTGTCCCTGCCGCTGATGCCCTGCTGATGCCACGTTATGTCCCGTCAGGTGGTTGGGACCATGGGCTTGCTCTTCGTGCCCATACCGCTGCTTATGAAGCAGGTGGGGCCAGGGGGGGGGCCAGGGGGGGGGCCAGGGGGGGGTGCC